GGAGGAATGGGAGAGCTGGGGGAAATTGAGAAATCGATGGGGAGCACCAGAGCAAGCCCAGAAGAACCTGCTCAGAGCTGTCTCCAAGCTCAGCAAGACCCGACCTCAATTCTCCCAGGATATAAAAATTAATCTTCCAAAAAAAAAGCAGGTTCAGAATTTTACCCAGCTGAAGGATTTTGCATCGCCCGGGCACAACAACAACCCCTGTCATGGGGACATGGAGCATTTGGAGGACAAGGGTGGAATTCCTCAGGGAAACCCCTCCCAGCCCTCAGGACAGATGGATAAAGTCACCCCTGACCAACCAGTYCCAGGATTCTTGACCCTCATAATTTTTAGGACAAAATTAGTCTCGTCTAACTTTAGGCAAGGTCAGCAGCTCACCTGAGCTACTCGAAGACCTGAGTTCCTTTGGAGAAAAATACATTTAGGGCATAATTCATCTCATAATTTTATGAAATTATAGTAAGTGAAAAATAATATATAATATATAAAATGATATAAATTGATAAATCAGAYGAGAGAACTTGCCCTCAATTGTGTGTTTGTCTTCACTGCCCATGTTAGGACATGGGTTCATGTCCCTTAGGCMAAGATTTCAACATGTAGGGAAAAACACTCACAAAAATCAAGTTTTTTTTTGGGAAAACACATCCTGGGAGGGTCTGGTTTGGCYAGAGAGCTGTGAGAGATTCCCAAAGGGATGTCCAAGCACTCAGAGGAATCCTGGCCCCACCTTTTCCTGCCACATTCCCTCTTTCCCTCCCAGCCTTACCCTCTCCGATCTCCAGCTCTTCCTTCTCCTCCGCTTCTGCCGCGGCTGCTTCCTGCTGCCGGAGTTGCTGCAGGACAAAGGAAGTTGTTGGATATCAGGAATGATTTCTTCATGGAAAAGCTGCCCASGGCAGTGGAGTCCCCATCCCTAGAGGGATTTGAAGCYGTGTGGATGTGGCACTTGGGGACAGGGTCAGCGGTGGCCTTGGCAGTGCCAGGGGATGTTGGACTCAATGGTCTCCAAAGGCTTTTCCAGCCTGAATGATTTTGGGATTTTGTAACAGTCATAGGGTGCAGCACAGCCTCAAAACTTTGCAGGAATTGGGAATAAAATCCCCCCAAATGCCACTCAGTGCCGCTCCTCACCCACCTCCTTCATGGTCTCGATGGAAGCGAAGTACTTGGACCACCAGTCCAACATGCTCTCGTCCGGCTCCTCCTCCTCCACCTCCTCCCCGCCTCCTCCTCCTTTCTTCTTCTTTTTCTTTTTCTCCTTCTCTTCCTCGGTCTGAAGGGACAAGGGGAAGGGGAGGGGTCAGGTGAGAGGGAAACACCTCTGGAAATACAAAGGGGAGGGGGGTGAAGCCCCTGGGGAGGGAGAACACCCCAGGCTCGAGGATTTCATTAATTTTCCCCATTTTACCGCCACTGACATTGAGGCACAAGGATGACCAAGGTTCC